TCTTCCTTCCTCTTCCTTCTTTCTCTCTCTAAAATATAGTACGTGATATATTTTCTAACCTCTTTCACAACTCTATAGTTATATATTTATAGACAACTAAAATAACCCTAATCCTTTTTTCAATCCAAAACAAACTAAAATAAAATAAGATAAAATTTAAATACTAACAAGGTAACTTAAATATATGTTACGTATAATCTATGTGTACTCCTTTATATATATAATATATAAATATATATTAAATATACATATACATGGGTAATTATCCGTACCCATTAAACCCCTTATCCAAGTAGTCCATGGAGTCCAATTGATTGGTCAATTATTACTATCCATATCCAATTCCTTAAAAATATAAAAATAAAATAAATAAAATAAAAATAAAAATAATAAAATTAAATTCCTAAATAAATACACATCATCACATACAATTCAATTTAAACAAATAATTAAATCAATTAAACAAGTAAACAATTAGCCAAAAAAATAACTAAATAATTAAATGCAATTAAAACTATTAAAATAATACCGAGACTATCCTTTTTAAATTTGGAGCATTACAGGAGACGCTCAGAACTTCATTGTCTAACTCCGCTCCAGAAGGTGTAATCACAATGGATATGGCCAAGAGTTGTTTGCTAAATGAACAGATGAGAAGAAAAACACAGGGATCCTTTTCACTGTCAGAGATCTTGGTTACAGAAAAGAGGGGGAGAAGTAAGAGCAGAGGTCCGAAGAATAGAGATAACAACAGAAGTAAGTCCAACAAGTTTGCAAATGTTGAGTGTTATCATTGTGGGAAAAAGGGACATATTAAGAAATATTGCAGGCAATTGAAGAAAGAAAACAAGAATGAGAAAGGAAAGAGAACAAAGATTGGAAATGACAAAGATGGTGATGACAGAGTTGCTCCACCACTCTTGTAGACGTCCTCATTGTTTATAATGATGAGACGATAAATGTTCCATACCATGAGACCAGTTGGGTGATTGACAGTGGTGCTTCTATTCATACTACATCTCGGAAGGATTTTTTTACATCTTATAAATCTGGTGATTTTGGAACAGTAAAGATGGGCAATGATGGTTTGGTTAAAGCCATTGGAATTGGGGATGTGTATCTGAAGACGAATAATGGCACGAGGTTAGTTCTCAGAGATGTGAAGCATATTCCTGACATTTGTTTGAATTTAATTTCTGTAGGTAAACTTGATGATGAAGGGTATTACAACACTTTCAGTGATAGCCAGTGGAATCTCACTAGGGGTACTATGGTTGTGGCTCGAGGCATGAAGCACTTTGCACTGTACGTTCTGCAAACCAAGATCTCCAACGACATTGTTAATACGATAGAGGATAATGATACAACAGAGTTGTGGCATAAGAGACTGGCTCACATGAGTGAGAAATGATTAGCTCTATTTAGGAAGAAAAGTCTACTATGTGGACTGAAAAGTACACTTCTGAAAAGGTGTACTCATTGTTTGTCAGGGAAGCAGAGCAGAGTCTCCTTCAAGAATTCCCCTCATTCGAGAAAGTCAAAGATACTGGATTTGGTACATTCAGATGTGTGTGTCCCTATGAAGACGAGAACACTTGGTGGCTCCAGATACTTTGTGACCTTCATAAATGATCATTCAAGGAAGTTATGGATATATACCTTGAATTCAAAAGACCAAGTGTTAGCAATGTTCAAGCAATTTCAAGCCCTAGTTGAGAGACAGACTTGGAAGAAACTGTGATGCATTCGTACTGATAACGATGGAGAGTATTCTGGTCCTTTTGATGGGTATTGTAGACAGCAGGGTATCCAGCATCAAAAGACAACACCTAAAACTCCTCAGTTGAATGGCATAGCAGAAAGGATAAACAGGACACTGGTTGAGAGAGTGAGATGTTTGCTTTCATAAGCCCAGTTGCCAAAATCCTTTTGGGGGGAAGCATTGAGCACAGTTGTTCATGTGTTAAATCTTACACCCTGTGTTCCTCTACAGTTTGATGTGCCAGATCGAGTTTGGATAGGTAAGGATGTCTCCTATAATTATCTGCGTATTTTTGGGTGCAAAGCATTTGTGCATATTTCAAAAGATGAAAGGTCCAAACTTGATGTGAAAACGCGACAGTGTATATTCCTTGGCTATGGCCAAGATGAGTTTGGGTACAAGCTTTATGATCTAGTTGAGAAGAAAATTGTGAGAAGTAGAGATGTTGTATTTGTAGAAGATCAGACGATTCAGGATATTAAGAAAGCAGGGAAATTTATGTCTCAGCAAGGTAATATCTTGACTGACGTAGATCCAGCTCCTCTGAAGAATCTGCCATCTCAGGTTGAGAATGATGTTCAGGATGACCACCAGTGTACAGATGATATGGATGTTCCCCTACAGGTTCAGGGAGATGTTGAGACTGATGAGCAGTTAACAGCGCCAGAGATTCCACCAGAGATTCCATCCAGGAAGTTGCCTAGAGACCGACGTCTTTCCACTTAGTATTCAGCAGAGCAGTATGTGTTATTGACTGACGGGGGAAAGCTCCAGTGTTTTACAGAAGCTATAGAAGATGAACACAAGACAGAGTAGGTTGAGGCCATACAAGATGAGATGCAGTCATTGCATGATAACCATACCTTTGAGTTAATAAAGCTACCTAAAGGAAAAAGATCTTTGGAAAACAAGTGGATTTATAAGAAAAAGCCAAATGGGTTCTCTTCACGGCCACGGTACAAAGTTAGATTGGTTGTCAAAGGGTTCGGTTAGAGAAAAGGTGTTGACTTTGATGAGATCTTCTCTCCAGTCGTAAAGATGTCATCGATCCGTATAGCACTCGGCCTAACAGCTAGTCTTGACTTGGAAGTTGAGCAGATGGATGTGAAAACTGCCTTTCTTCACTGTGATTTGGAAGAAGAGATTTATATGAAGCAGTCAGAGGGTTTCAAAGTGAAAGGGAAAGAGGATTATGTGTGCAAGCTGAAGAAAAGCCTATATAGTTTGAAACAAGCACTGAGACAGTGGTATAAGAAGTTTGAGTCTGTTATGGGGGAGCAAGGCTACAAGAAGACAACTTCTGATCACTGTGTATTTGTTAAAAAATTCTTTGATGATGATTTTATTATTCTACTGCTTTATGTGGATGATATGTTGATTGTTAGAAAGAATGCTTCAAGGATTGACCAGTTGAAAAAGCAATTGAGTAAGTCATTTGCTATGAAGGATTTGGGGCTAGCAAAGAAAATTCTTGGCATAAGAATCAGTCGTGATAGGAATGCCAAGAAGTTATATTTGTCATAGGAGGAGTACATTGAAAAAGTACTTCAGAGGTTTAATATGGATAACACTAAAGTGGTTAGCTTTCCTCTTGCTACCCACTTCAGACTGAGTACAAAGCAATGTCCTTCTACAGATAAGGAAAAGGAAAATATGGAAAGAGTTCCTTATGCCTCAACAGTAGGAAGTTTGATGTATGCAATGATTTGCACAAGACTAGATATAGCCCATGCAGTTGGAGTAGTTAGTCGATTCTTGTCAAATCCGGGAAAAGAGCATTTGAATGTAGTGAAGTGGATTATGAGATATCTTCGAGGCACTTCCCGTTTGAGACTTGGTTTGGGAAACAGATAACCGTTGTTAGTTGGCTACATAGATGCAGATATGGCAGGGGATGTGGATACTCGTAAGTCTACTTTGGGTTATTTGATCACTTTTGCAGGTGGGGCTGTAGGTTGGCAATCGAGACTTCAGAAATGTATTGCTCTTTCTACGACAGAGGCAGAGTTTATTGCAGCAACGGAAGCGACTAAAGAGTTGTTATGGGCAAAGAAGCTCTTGAGAGAACTTGGTTTGAAGTAGCAGAGGTATGTGTTGTTTTGTGATAGTCAGAGTGCTATTCATCTTGCTAAGAATTCCAATTTCCATGCAAGATCTAAGCACATTGATGTACGATACCATTGGATCATAAATGTGTTGAACAATAAGTTACTTGAACTTAAGAAGATTCACACTGATGATAATGGTTCTAATATGTTGACAAAGACCCTACCAAGAGAGAAGCTTGAAGTTTGTTGTTTGATTGCTGGGATGGCGATTGCCTCCACATAGTGGGAAAAGGGGGAGATTTGTTGGGTTTATTTCTTTCTATATAGAGGAAAGCCTAAGTGGGTTTTATTAAAGCCCAAAGCCCAGCTCTTTAAGGTGAATAACCCTAAGGAAATCAGAATAAAAAGAGAGGGAGATCAGTCGTAGATTGTTGAAGAAAAGAGAAGAAAAACGCAGCTTTTTCTCATACTACCCAGATTTCATCAAAACTCCAATCCCGCTTCGTTTGTGGTCCGATCGAGCTGAAATTTGGAGGAGAGGTTCACAACTCAATGAGTTAAAATCTGAATGATAGAGATTGAATTTTGAGCCCGGGAACAGTGATTTGTGACCGTGAACAGTAACCGGGTTTATGGTATTTTCTCTCCAATTCTCTTTGTATTTGTCAAGATTGTTGATATCTTGATGAGATGTATTGTAGCCTCTAATTGTGATTAGAGAAGACTTTGTGTACCCATTATTTGGTTGATAGTGGAGATTTCTGGACTAGGTCCCATGGTTTTTCTTCCTTACACTAGGGAAGTTTTCCATGTAAAAAAATTGCTTGTGTTCTTGTGGCTTAGTGTGATTGAATTTTTTTCTCTATTCTTTTCAGCACATATAAAAGTTGAGATACACTATATTTGCTTGCATATAGGGAGAAGAGTTATTCTGCTGTGTTTGTTTATTATTATTTCTCCTAACAAAATACTCGACACCCTATACTGTACAGTAGGTTCACACACACACACACACACACACAAAGACTTGCTCTTCAGAGAGAGAGAAAAAAAGAAAAAGAAAAAAAGACCTCTTGCTAGGTCTCCCACTTGCATGAGCTTTTAACTAAACAACAAATTCACACCAATAATTTCCATTAAAATTAAACAAATTTCAGATTATAAAACTATTAATAATGGGCATTATATAGTACTACATTAAACCTGAGGATCTGCATTAGTACCATTATTAAAAAAGCCATGAGCTGCCTACCCAAAATTTCACTGCTGCCTTTGTTGCTTGTGGTGATTCCGATAGCAGCCACTGTAGCAACACCAACAGCTCTTGCCAGGCCTCATTGCCCACACAGCTGTGGCAATCTCCCCATTCCGTACCCTTTTGGCACAAGGGAGGGCTGTTACTTAAATTCCAATTTCCACATAACATGCAACGAGTTGTCAAAACTTATGTTTCTTGGAAATTCCATTTTAGGTGTCCTTGACATATCAATCCAACGTCATGAGCTTCGAATCTCGAGTTGGGTAGCTGCCGATTGTTATGACGATTTGGGTAGATCGATTCGTAGAAATAATCCATTTGTATGGGTCTCCACATTCTCCATCTCACACACCAAAAACAAGTTCATGGTCATAGGTTGCGACTCTTACGCATACGTGAGAGGTTCTCTGGGAGTAAAATATTCCACCGGTTGCATGTCACTGTGTGATACTATTGATGATGTGGCCAATAATTCATGCTCTGGCATCGGTTGTTGCCAAACATCAATTCCGGAAGGAGTAAGGGATTTTAATTTGAGTGCAAGAAGTTTCAAAAACCATAGAAATATTATGGACTTCAATCCCTGCAGCTTCGCTTTTGTTGTTGAAGATGGCTTCTATAATTTCTCCACCGTCGATCTTTTCAATTTAAGCAACGTTGTGACGATGCCGGTGGTGCTTGATTGGGCTATTGCCAATGAAACTTGTGCAAAAGCCGAGACTCTGGAAAGCTACGCATGTGGGAACAATAGCATCTGCTATGAGCCACATAATAATCTGGGGTATCGCTGCAATTGTTCTCAAGGTTACCAAGGGAACCCTTACCTTCCAAATGGTTGCCAGGGTACGTACGTAATTCATTCATACACACGTTCATATTATTATGGAAAATAATTTTTACACATTAGTTGCTGTGAATTGATAGACTTATTGTTTCTAATTGGTCATTTATGTAACAAATAAGAAAGTGAAATCCTCTACTTGTATTAATCATAAATAACCAATCAAAAATTATTGGATTTGACAATTCATTGCCACTGCTCAGTTATTATTGTTCTCTTAAATTATTTATTACGGAGTATTATTTTGAATCAATTTGTTTGGATGGTTCACAGATATTGACGAGTGCTCGAGTCCTGAACTGAATCCGTGCACTAATGGTTGTAAGAACAACGATGGGGGTTTTACATGTACTTGCCCAAGAGGGTATCACGGGGATGGCAGAAAACAAGGCCAGGGTTGTATTTCAAAAAAATTATGGCTAAAGCTCGCTATTGGTAAGATATATAGACTGAATTTTATATACTTAAATAAAAGCTTCTCCGATAACTGCATGTGTTGAATGCTTGTGAAGTCTTGAAAAATAGATCAATATTACATGATCAGTAGCCAAATTGCAATACAGTACGTACTGGTTATTAATTGCTCGAATGCAAAGCATGCATGCTTTCCTTAATCAGCTGTGGTTTGAAATGATTTGCATGTTTAATTGATTGTAGGTTTTGGCGTAACAATTGTGGTATTTGTTGTGGGAGGTTCTTTGACATTTTGGGGAATCAAGAGAAGAAGGAAATTCATCCAACATAAAAATGAACTTTTTGAGCAAAATGGTGGTCCAGAGATACGACGGCTCTTGGAGCCAGGCGGTTCAGCCCAGAAAACCAAAATCTTTACCATAGAACAGCTCAAGAACGCAACCAATGACTTCCATGAAAGTTCAATCATTGGTCGAGGAGGGTGTGGCACAGTATATAAAGCAGTTCTACCCCAAAACAAATTAGCTGCTATTAAGAAGTCGTCGACAGAAGTCGATAAAACCCAAATTACGAAATTTGTTAATGAGGTAGTTGTGCTCTCTCAAATCAACCACAGGAATGTGGTTAAATTGTTGGGCTGTTGTTTAGAGACTGAAGTCCCCTTGCTTGTTTATGAATTTATCACAAATAAGACTCTGTACCACCATCTCCATGAAGAACCTCATGGGTCCTCCATTTCATGGGAAATTCGTCTGAAGATAGCAAAAGAAACCGCTGGTGCGCTTTCTTATTTGCACTCAGATGCTTCCACAACTATCATTCATAGAGATGTTAAGTCTACTAACATACTCTTAGATGATAACTTCAATGCAAAAGTCTCTGACTTTGGATCTTCAAGATTAGTTCCATCGGATAAAACACAATTGAAGACAATGATTCAAGGAACACTTGGATATTTAGATCCTGAATATTTTCATATAGGCCATTTGTCAAAAAAAAGTGATGTCTATAGCTTTGGAGTTGTACTTGTGGAGTTACTTACAGGCAAAATGCCACTTTCTTTTGACACGCCAGAGAGGGACATAACTTTAGCCACATTTTTTATTTCTTCAATGAAAAAAAATGATTTATCCTTTATTTCAGAGGATCCTATTGTGGATGGGGGTAATCCAGATCAGGTACGTAAAGTTGCTAATCTTGCGTATAATTGCTTAAGATTGAAGGGGGAAGAACGACCTACGATGACCGAAGTGGCAAGGGAGCTTGAAAGAGTAATGCCAGGGGACAAACACCTTTGGACCAGTGTTGAAGTAAATCGAGAGGAGACCGAGTAACTGCTAGGCGAATCATTGGATTTCGGCAGCACTAGCACCGCAGCTGGGTATGATGGTTTGAAGAACCTTTAATACCATTGGAGAATGATGATGGCCGTTGAGTGTTATGCATAATTTCAACTTGTATCGCATGATATATTAATCTAGTAATAATGTGTGTTGAGAGTAATGTAAAAATACGTATGTGGGTTATGGGAAGATACGTGTTTAGCACGTGGGTCTGCATAAGTGGAAAGTTCAGAGTTGTTTGGGTTAATAGCGGATTGTGTTACTGTTATGTTAATTATTGGGTTTTTTGTGTTACTATGACATGGGGTGGTTTACGTTATTGTCAAAGTGACGTGTGTAATTGTGGTTAAGATGTTATAGAATAATTAGGTGATGTAATGAATTTTGATTTCAGAGTATTATAATTCTTGTTTATGTCGTTGTTGTGTCTTCCAAACTAACACTTGAAATAGACCTTTTCTTTTTAACCAGTAAAGGGTAATTTACAAAGACCACCTTTATAATTTGCCTTAATTACAGGGATCATTTTTACTGTTTTGAAAATTATGCAGTCCTTTTCTAATTTTGAAATTATCTTATACGAACTTCCTTTCTGTTAAAGTCAACGACAAAATTTGATGATGCTACTATTTTTATTAAAATTCCTAAAACACACTTGTCTATATAATTATATATTTTATTTAAAATATATATATATATATATATATATATATATATATATTAAGCCTTCATCTAGTTTAGTCAGTGGTGATGGCGGCGAGGATCTGTGACGGCGATGGGATGTGGTGGTGGGTATCTGTGACAGCGACGGGTTGTGGTGGTTGGTTTGAAACGATGAGGCTGTGAGATGGTGACGGTGAGGCTATGAGATAGCGACGGTGAGGATCTATGATGGCAAGGTTGTGACTGGATGATCCGGCCGGTGTTAATAGTGATTGATTCGGCAGTGTGATTTTGGGATATTTTGTTTTTCACTAAATAGTCATGATAGTATTCAACGTACTGTAAGAGGATCTATGATCTGTGATTTTGGGACCTTTTGTTTCACATGCAAATTTATTCCATGGTCATCATCAAGATGTAGACAACTATAACACCTTGATTCCAAGAGAAGTTCATTGGAATTAAGTCCTTGTAATATAATAAAGACTCAAACATGAATTAAGTCCAGTGATATATTACTAATAGATCAAACAGAAGAAATTTACAAAAGAATATAATGGAAAATCCTTTAATAAATTAATAGTAACGATCAGATGGTAATCTTATTTGAAAGTTTTGAAAAGATCCACATCTACATGTGATAGCCCTCGATTCTAGAGTCACGGGTGATCAAGTCTGAACACAGATTTGAGGGACACCAAACAATTGATATGTAAACAAGCAGAAATAAAAACTGAATCAAGAATAAAATAATAATACGCTGAAAGAAATCTAAAATAAGAATCCTCAAACTTGAAATAATAAATTAACATAATTTAAAACCGTACAACTCGGGAATCCACCTAGCGGACCTCTAATCCCAAATCCTTGAATAAATTTACAGAATTAAAATCCAAAATTAAAATAGAAAGGAAATCCTATGTAACCGGAAGATTGAGTGTCTGTATCTGCATCAACACGATCAAACTCTAAGCCTGGTACTGTCGAACACCTGAAAAATAAGAGAGTGGGTCAGGCCCACATGCAAGTCCTGATCTACTACGATCTAAACAGGAATCCGATACGCAGATACATCTTAAATAGACTCAACAATATCTAAAGTAGTCCATATATGTATATATTACATACTATAGGATGCTCATTAGTCCAATAGGTACGTCTCAGCCTGAGTAGAGATACCATGCAAATCGTACGTAATGTGGTCATGTGTATCTAGACATACCAGGGAACAAAACCACTGTCCAGTTATCCATCCTAGGCGATATACGCACCCTAATCATGTTCCTTAGATTCAAGCTCATACCATGGCACCATAATATAAATATATAAAGTCCGTTCAAGGTGTATCATTCAAAAAGTTTATTAACCTGACACAAAGTTATAAGTAGGACTTAACTTTTGTAGTTAATCCATCTTATTTTAATATAGGTAGGACTTAGTGTTTGAACTAATTCATCCCCAATATAGGCAGGTCTCAGTGTTTTGAACTGAGCCGTCCCTAATATGCCACCGTTCCATACCGGTGCATAGACATGCACATAAGTAGGACTTAACATTTTATAGTTAATCCAACTCATTCCAAAATAGGTAGGATTTAGTGTTTTACTAATCCATCCCTAGTATGCCACCGTCCCATACCGGTGCACACAATCCTCCAAACAACATAATTGTAAAGACAATAATTGTTATCTATCAACTATTATCCAGAATATGCATAAATACAGTTTAATACATATAACATGACATTAGGCATTCATTATAGAACCTAAATATCACATTCCAACTATTTAAATTGCTAATATGAGTCATAGCATTTAAATCCTCCATTTACCATAGTTGACCAAAAACAGTATAAATAGTTATCAACTATATTCCAAAATAAGCACAGATATAATTTCACATGTGTAAAACTAAATCATGCATCCACTAACAGAGTTAGAAGCCAAATCCCAGTCCTTTAAATTTGTAAAATAAGATTACACAATCTACCTTTCCAAACAGTGCCATATTGATGCAATGCATAACAGATTTAAACACCAGTTAATTCCATTTAAGCATACACATATTTAAATTACTATATGCTTACAACACAGCTGAAAATATGATTCTCAATTTAAGATTTTTCAGAGACATCAAAACTTCAAAAACAATAAGTAACAGAAGCATTCACATCCTCCAACTCATCCCTAAACTGTTGCAGTTGATTTACAAGATGACTATTAATTTAGTCCAACACAAGCATCGTTAAATTCCTATTTAAACATGATTACTCAAAATTAAATCACATATAAATAATCCTCGAAGTTCTAGAGTTTAAACTGATCAATATTCAAGGTACAACCTGTAGATTTCTTTCCTAACTGTACATTGCCTCCTTCTTAATCCCTTTATGAATTCTTGTTTAAACATGCTCTTACAGGTTTAAAACAATAACATGCATCATTTAAAACCATTTAAACCAAGTCTTAAAACTCTGCACAGCCCAAAAATAATCAGAAAACCAAATTAAATGCAATCTGGGTGAGAGCAGGCTCTCTCAAAATTGAGAGCCTGCTCTCTTTTAATGTGAGAGCCGGCTCCCTAAACTAGGAAGCCTGCTCTTGATAGCATAGAGCTGGCTCCATGCTCCTTGGAGCCGGCTCCTTGGTGAGGGAGCCTTCTCCCTCTCTCTCCGAGGCTCTTTACAATTTTCCTACTCCATCCTCCTCACATCTGGTGATTCCCAAGTCTATATAGTTTGTTAGATACCTAATATAAGGCTTAATTTATGTTCCAGATTGATTGTAAGACAAGAATATACAAGCAAAAACCTAATTTGCAACACAAGTTGTAACGACCCGCTCCACCATATGGTATGATATTGTCCGCTTTGGGCTTGAGCCCGCACGGTTTTGCTATTGGGCTTCACCCCAAAAGGCCTCATACCAATTGGAGGTGACACACTTACATATAAGCACTTCACCTTTCCTCTACCCAGGCGATGTGGGACTGTGCACCCGTAACTCGCCAGTGTGGTAGCCTGATAGTGTCTTTCGCACCCGCCCACAGCACACCCGCCCACAGGGTCATCATAATCCACCCCCCTTGGAGGCCTGACGTCCCCGTCGGCACACTTCCGGCTGGGTCAGGCTCTGATACCATTTGTAACGACCCGCTCCACCACATAGTATGATATTATCCGCTTTGGGCTTGAGCCCGCACGGTTTTGCTATTGGGCTTCACCCCAAAAGGCCTCATACCAATTGGAGGTGACACACTTACATATAAGCACTTCACCTTTCCTCTACCTAGGCGATGTGGGACTGTGCACCCGTAACTCGCAAGTGTGGTAGCCTGACAGTGTCTCTCGCACCCGCCCACGGCACACCCGCCCACAGGGTCATCACACAAGTTGTTGAGCATCGGCAGTAAGTTTAAAACTGAACTTTTAACCAACTGAAGAACAGATTCATTCACTGATTTTAAACACAGATTAAACATGCATAAACATTGTATTCAAAACTTAATTAAATCCCTAGAGCCCATCTAAGCATGCACAAAACACAGACTCGAACGATAGAATAGACCAGAAACTTGCCTTTGAATTTCAGATTTGAAATTCTAATTCACCGTCTCTGTATGATATATCTGTGTCCTAAACTGCAAGTCTGCTCCTCCAGTGCCTTGGTTCAACCCAGAAACACCTCTCCTTCCTCCTTCTTGGTCCAACCTTGGTCTAGACCAAAACCTAGACCTCCTCTCTTTATCTTCCTCTGTGTCTCTCAATACCTCACTGTATCTCTGTTCTACAGAAAACCTATGTTTTGTTTTGTGATGTTTTAAACCCTAATCCACCGTAATATACATATATATAGGTTTAGATATTAAACCTTAATCGATATTTAACTCGGCCCATAGATAAACCTAGGTGATAATTAATGACGGCTACTTATGAAAAGCTATATAACAGTCACGTTGAAAACTAAATCCATGTAACTAAAGCCAGTCATTTAAAACAATTAAAGTATTAAATCCCACAAAATTAATTCAATTAAAATAATTAAATTAAAACAATTAAGATAACTAATTAAAACAGAAAAATTAATTAACTAACTTAAACAATGAATGCAATTAAAATCAATTACACAAATATTAATTAAATCAATTAAACAAACACAATTAATCACTTAAAAACAAAACAACTAAGTCACATAACTAAATCAATTAATCAATGAAAAACAAAATTAAATTTCCAATTCTATCATTTTGAAAACTAGGGGTATTACACTATATATGTACTTTTAGTTTTGAATTTCAATTCCGGTCATCAATCCTGCAACACCAAATTTATCTCTGCCCTCTGTTCGGAAACGTAATTCCCATGCTCATAGTCAGTTAGAGCAAAAAAATCCACTCATGTCTTTCTCCACCTCACACTCATACATAAATCATAAGAGTTGCCCTGAATTGAATTTCATGGATGAGAATTTGGTGCCAAATCAAGGTCTCTGTAACTATTTTTAGCCACCTGTACTATTCGTCGGACTGGATCAAAAGCTCACCAGAGTTGGGGTAATATTCCATTGGAAACAATGGTTAGGGTACATAAGTAAATTCATCTCATTTTTATTTACACTATTATGTATATAATATATATATATATATATATATATATATTGTTTATATGGGTATTTTAGTCATTTATCATGGAAAATTGAGGGCATTTCAGTAAATTTGATGTGTTCGTTAGTGCATT